CTACCCAACTCATCGCGTGCACCAATCTTCTCGCCCACTCTCCGTCCACGTGCGCCCCGATCTATAATACACATCGGTGTCTTATCCCAGCCCTACCGCGAGAGCCTGTCGATTGGCAGAGGGGTGGGGATAATGATAATGGGGAAAGTGGGGGGTGCGGGGGGGGGTTCAGGGGGAGTCAAGGATCCCACGGGACCCAAGTTGAGTCCGGCTGAGATGCGGCGCGGTCAGCGACTCACGGCGGTGGCGGCGCAATCGATGTCGGCTCGACAGGGGCGCGTGGCGGCGTCTCTCACCCCTCCTCTCTCATTGCTATCGACCCAGAGGCGAGGGCTCCCGGGCCCTCATCACCACCTCCCTGCACCCTCAACTTCAGCAGCTGTAATAGTAGCAGCAAGAGCAGCACAATCACCAGCAGCAGCTACGTCATCATCATCATCACAAAAACAAAGATCCCCGTGTAGCCTTAATAGACTGTTGGGGAAAGTGCTGCTCGCGAGTAGGCTGGCACGGCACACGAGGGGGTGGGTGGTCAGCACCATGCCCGGCCCCCTTTGTCTCCCTAGCCACGTTGTTTACACATCGCATCGGGTACCTATTTAAGACTGAGTTGATTTAGTGGAGGCCCAGGACCTGCCTGCTGCCGTCTTTCCCGCTCGCCTGCGCTTGCTCACCACATCACGAGTCGTCTCTCTGCCAGAGCGAGCGAATATTGTTCGGCGGCGTGTTACTAGTGAACATTATGAGATTACCATTAAATGGAGAGCCGGATTTATAACAGGATTGTATTGTCTGCTCATCTACTGTGTTACTCATGTTGCCTCCAACGACGCTGATGACTGCGTTGTGTCACACACACGCATGACGATTATATCCTCATACGCGTGGGATTCGTCCAGAAGAAAATGAAATTGCCCAAACATCGGAAGCAGGACCCTCTCGCAAACCCAGTCTTGAGACTCGCCGAGGCTTCAATCGGCGAAGGATGAGTCTAACTTTTGCGCCACAAACATTTTTAAAGAGGGAGTCCAAATATTATCAGCAGAATTTGATTCTGAATTCAGAAAGTGTGTTGTGGGCTCTCTCCCATTCCCTCTCTCGTTCGCGCTCCCGATCGCGCTCTGGGACCCATTGATTGGTTTTCACCTCTCGAATGCCATCGGCACAAGCGCAATAATTAAAAGATAAAACGGCACACGTGTTTGTATATCTGACGTGGCCAGTGGGCACGCGAAACTGCGTCATTCAGGCCCGGGGATGGGCGTCCATTTCCCACAACGCTGATGATGACCATGTATGAATGTATGTTGAACTTCTTTCGCACCTTACGTAGCTAACCGTGCTAATGGCTGATGTGCCCGTATAGGTGTGCACCTCAAGTCACGTCTAGGTGAGGAAATCTACTCATAATAATCACGTTGTTTATTTATGATGCTGTTCATTTATCCATGCAAGTTGCATTGGGGATGTTTAGCAAATTCAGGAGTGGATTTCTACGGGAGGCAATAGCATTGTCCTGGGAAAACCCTCCATGCCTACCTCACACCGGGGTGACAATCAAGGCTTCGTAGAGATGGATTCAAGAATCCATTACTCCGACTGCCATCTCCTGATCACCTCGAAGCCCAAGCCGACGCTACCTGGAATTCCCAAGGCAGACTTCCATCCAAGCGCTAACGAGGCTCAACCCTGCTTACCTTGAGAGGTCTTCCGTGATCGCTGAGTACCTTGGCAGGAGGTGGCACGACACAGGTCGTGATGCACAATACCGGTGGACATTTACACTTGAACGTGGTGTGTGCTTCCCGTAGGTCGACTCAGCCGAAGGGTGTCGGTTCTTCGGTGTCGGTTGATTGGGCGAGTGCGGAAGTGTGAACAGCACCGAGCAAAGGATGCGAGAGAATATTAATTGGTTCGTGGTGAGTGCGTGCGGTGAGCTGGTGGGTGGGTAGGAGGTGTGAGTTCGCGATGACGGGAGGAGTATGGTGAGCCTGCGAGGTCAAGGGAGCTGTGGAGTTGGGGAAAGGAGCCTTTGGGGGTGATCGGGAGAATCCGTGGCGCAGCGGTGGAGGTCGGGCAACGATGTGAGACGGAGCGGCGAGCGAGCTGTGCAGGATGCTTGCTTTCGAGTGCAGTGAACTCGGTGAGCTCTCAGTGAGGTCTCAGTGAGCTCTGTCAGCTCTCAGTGAGCTCTCAGTGAGCTCTGTCAGCTCTCAGTGAACTCTCATTCAGCTCTCAGTGAGCTCTGTCAGCTCTCAGTGAGCTTTCATTGAGCTCTGTCAGCTCTCAGTGAGCTCTGTCAGCTCTCAGTGAACTCTCAGTCAGCTCTCAGTGAGCTCTGTCAGCTCTCAGTGAGCTTTCATTGAGCTCTGTCAGCTCTCAGTGAGCTCTGTCAGCTCTCAGTGAGCTCTGTCAGCTCTCAGTGAGCTCTGTCAGCTCTCAGTGAGCTCTGTCAGCTCTCAGTGAGCTCTATCAGCTCTCAGTGAGCTCTCAGTGAGCTCTGTCAGCTCTCAGTGAGCTCTGTCAGCTCTCAGTGAGCTCTGTCAGCTCTCAGTGAGCTCTGTCAGCTCTCAGTGAGCTCTGTCAGCTCTCAGTGAGCTCTGTGAGCTCTCAGTGAGCTCTGTCAGCTCTCAGTGAGCTCTGTCAGCTCTCAGTGAGCTCTGTCAGCTCTCAGTGAGCTCTGTCAGCTCTCAGTGAGCTCTGTCAGCTCTCAGTGAGCTCTGTCAGCTCTCAGTGAGCTCTGTCAGCTCTCAGTGAGCTCTGTCAGCTCTCAGTGAGCTCTGTCAGCTCTCAGTGAGCTCTGTCAGCTCTCAGTGAGCTCTCTCTTTTAGCGCAGAGCACCGGGGTCTGTCCCGTGACCTGCCAGCAGCGAACCTTTCACACTTCACGTGACGGCCTTAACGTGCATCTCAAAATGTGTCTAGCCTGTCACAAGCGCTGTGGTCACGTCAATGTCATTCAATGATGGATGACGGCTTGTTGTTGTGTAGAGTGGTGTATGTAAGGTGGGGTGTACAGAGTGGTGTGTGTAAGGTGGGGTGTACAGAGTGTTGTGTGTAATGTGGTGGCAAGGATTATTCAACATCGCCTTGCCAGACACGTTGAGGAGAGGCTTGCGGAGCCCCTATGTGGTTTCAGGAAAGGGCGGTCCTGCACAGATGCCATATTTTCTGTCCGTTTGCTACAGCAGAAGTGTAGGGAATTCCAACAAGACCTACGTCTCTGCTTTATTGACCTGGTCAAGGCCTATTATACCATCAGTAGGCCTGGGCTCTGGGTTGTTCTTCGTGCTTTTGGAGTCCCTGACTCTATGACCACGATCATTAAGGACCTTCATGGTGGTGAGCGGGCCCTGGTAAAACTACGTGGCCGGGAGTCGGAGTCATTCCCTGTTCACCATCGGGTGCGACAGGGATGTCCTCTGGCTCCCACATTATTTAACATCTTTTTCGACCACGTAATCCGTGAGGCCTTTGATGGCTGTACCAGAGGAATTTCCATCTGGTACAGATACTGTACAATGGGAGGCTGATCGATGCCCAGGTGCGGTCAAGAGATGGCTCCCTATTGGTCAACCATGTTACGTATGCCGATGATCTGGTAATTGCCGCTCACTTCAGAGGAGTTGGAGGCGCTGCTGCTGAACCTGGAGCGTGCCACTAAGAGGTGGGGCCTTACCATCAGCCCCACCAAAACTAAGCACCTGCCTGGGTATTTTTTGCCATCGGGCAACCCACCCACACAACTCCCAATCGGTGATGGAGCAGTTGTGGAGAGAGTGGAGAGTTTCCCATACCTGGGCAGTGTGCTCATGACTGGCTCCGGTTTGACAGCAGAGGTCTCACTCAGAATCAGTCGAGCGGCATTATCTTTTCATCAGTTGCGTAACGCTGTGTGGAAGCTTCAAGTCTTCTCGGCCACAGTCATTCCATCCCTTCTCCACGCTTGCGAAATGTGGACCCCCCCTAATGGAGCATCTTCGCAGATTGGAAACATTTAGGCTGGCCTGCCTACGATTCATCCTGGGTTTAACCAGGCTGGGTTGTGTGAGGAACTCACAAATCCTAGAAAGATCTGGGTAAAGTCCATCGGTGAACTCCTCCGACAGGCAAGGCTACGTTGGCTGGGTCATGTAGCCCACATGCCGAAACAGCTTTTGTTCGGCCGGATAGAGGGGGCTAAATGGGCGCGGCACAGGCTAGAGAAGAGATGGAGTGATGTGGTATAGGAGGACGTGGAGCTAAGTGGACTTGTCGATGACTGGTACCAGCGGTGTCAAGATCGGCCTCTGTGGAGGAGGCTCGTGAAGGACGCTACTGGGCAGTTGGAGGCAGTCGCCCTCCAACAACGGAGGGCGGAGGAGCGACGCTCACAACAACGAGCGGAGCGCCGGGTGGCTAAAGCACAGCAGGTTGGCACAGTAGGGGGCACAGGTGGTGCATCAGCCAGTCATCTCAGTCAGTCGACCCGTGGCACCTGGGTCTGCCCCGTGCCCTCCTGCCAGCGGGCGTTCGACACTTCACGTGGCCTCAAGGTGCACATAGCCTGGCACAATCGTCGTGGTGACGTCACCACCACTTAGTGGCGAATGGCGGTTGTTGTTGTACAGTCTCATAATTCAGGTTGAAATCACCCGTGATCACCTTGGGTTCTCGGGTGCAGTGCGTTCACGGGCCTAGCTTGGTCACTAATGACTGCAAAATACAGTACTGTATCTTCATCATCATCTTCTTGATATGGCACGAGTGAATCATCATTATCCTTATCAAATACATATTTAATTGAATTTGTAGGGTTTAGAAATGCATTATAATCATCTTGGAGCATCATTATCATCGCCGTCAATATTGTGATGCGACACCAGCCAATCATCATCATTTTCATCTTCATGACACACATGCATCATTGTCGTCGTGATGTGGCACCAAGCAAATAATCAGTAGCAGCAGCAGCAGCAGCACAAGGGGCGTTTAACTCACAACTCATAAGAACACCGATAATCACCTCAAATTTGTTTTTATATAAACCATGCGCAGTGTTTACAGTCACAATATCAAATTATTGTTTTCTCGATAGCGTTTGGCGTAGGCAATAGTCACAAAATAAAAATCATCATCTGCGCCGGGGCCGTCGTTCCCCAAAGTGGCCCCCGGCAGGAGGCCAAGCGAGCCCCGGGAGCCCTCGGCAGCGCCGCGGCCCCCAAGCGCCGCCCGCGCTCCTCGCGCGTCGCGCCCGAGGGAGAAGCGCGGCGCTCGGGGCCCCCGGGCGCCCGGCAATGGAGACGGATTCGCGGCATCGCGAGGGAGACGCGGATCCGAATCGAGCGCCGAGACGCGGCGCTCCGCACAAAGGATGCTTCACGCTCCGTGATCTGTGGCCTGACGCGCAGCGTGGCCGACAAACTCCACTCGCCGGATGGCGAACCCGGCAGCGAACACGGACTGGGAGCGGAGAACCACCAAACATTTACAGATTGAACCAAACATTTATAGAATGGACCAAACATTTCAACGGCGCTGGGCGAGGACGTCGGGGTTTGGGTCAGTGGGATCTGTTGGCTCGGGTGAGGAAGAGCAGAGCTCCACTCATGTTGGCTTGACTCACCAGCTGTGGTCAAGGATCGGGCTGATTAGTTGGGCTGGGGTAGGTGTGGAGCTCCTTCTCGTGGGTGACTCGCAGCTCATGGCTGGCGCTAGGGTTTGGCTGGCTCACGTGCGACTCCGCAATGTGTGGTGGTCCCGTCAGGCTTTGCCGCCTCACGCGTCCTGTGCCCGCAGCGTCACCGAATCTCTCAATAAACAATGAAGTGCACGCGGTACGAGTCGGCGTGTCCACGTGGCAGTGAGGCAGACATCTGTACTAATGAGTTTCTAAAGATGGGAGCCCAGGCGGTGGTAGTGCAACACGTGGGGCAGTTAACGCACAACATTTGGGTCTATCCTGCGAGCCTCCACCGTTCACGTGGCCTCAAAGTGGACCTAGCCTGGCACAAGCGTCACTGCCAGTGGTAAAATCAGCTGTTGGGTTCGGATGATGTTACCAGTTGTAATAATGAACGGGATATCACAGTCAAATAATATTGATGTAATTTATTCGTCGAGAAAGTCTTATTTAGCCTCATGACGTTCTTTAACCGGAGGATACTATGCGGATGTTTGATCAATTTGTTGTTCAAGTGTGCTGTACATATTCACGACGTTTTTCAACGCGTAGGTTTCACAGCCAAATTTATTATTCAATTCGGATTGTTTGGCGAGGCGACGGAGTGCCTAGGGACCTGGCCAAGTTTTTTTGTTCAGGCAACGAAATGTTTCTCTTCGGATTTGGAATGGCGCGCTGCCTGCTTACCAGCCGGGCCCACGCACAGCTCTCTCTCCCTGTCTCTCTCTCCCCGTCTCTCTCGAAACTGAACTGAAAATATTTCTGTCCATGTACGGCGCATGTCACGGTTGAGCATGTAGCAGCGTTCTCAACGATGGCCCACACACACACACACAGATGTAAACAAATGTACGTTTGGTTTTAATGTCACAAATAAATAGGTAACACAGTTTGGCACTACAGTGGAGAATGATGACAGCAGGAAGCTTGGTGGACAATCGAGTTGCAGGGCGGTGAGCAATGTCTCTTTGGCATGTGAGGCACGGCGCTGCTGCGACCCGTGCCAGCCCATGGCACCACAACGTCTGCCGGCTCACACTGGCGAACAGGGCGACGTCGCGTATCCGCCCTGTACAATAACGGTCCGTGCCCAGTGCAATAGTACTTGTGCACGGTCTGTCATCTTGCTGGAGATGTTCACAAATCAGACGTTTGCATATCCGAAAAAATGTCTGTGTGAGTCAAATATACGACGTTCTACTGAGCCAATGGTGGAGATTCCACATTCCCATGACAGGACATAGTCTTTCCATAGGATGACCACTGTTGGCTCTTCACTAAGTGGTCTTCACTACATAGTCCAATACCCTTCATCACGAGAGGGTTTAGGGTAAAATGAAGTATTCAGGTTAAGAGTTAGGTCAAGGAGTCGGCATTAGGGATTGTGGTCGGAGCACAGAGGGTAGGGTCAGAGGCATAAGCCTATAGGGTTAATGAGACGATTGAGTTAATGAGATTATAGGATTCATGAGAAGGTTGTTGTCAAGGCGAGGGTTAGGGATTGGTTTAGGATGAAGGTGGCCATTATAGATTGGGCTACGGTGAGGTCCTGGGCTCGGACTCGGGTTATCGACAGGGTGAGACGAGCCAAGGCTTGGGTTGGAGCTGGGACTATGGGCGAGGCATTGGGCTGAGGTCAGGGGGCGACATGGGGGTTTGGGTTAATAAGTGAATAAGTAATCCGGGAGATTGGTTCAAAATGGAATCCATGTGGCCAAAGAACAAACACTTCTCTCCGTCACAGTGTCGCATCGCAACTCCGCCTCCTCCTTTCCTTTAAACTCGTTCACAGCTACGAATACAAAAGTCACGAAAAGCTTCGGACCTAACGATGCAACCATCACTTTCCGTCTACTTCTTAACCCTAAACAGAAAGCTGGTTGCGAACAAAAAAAACTAACACAATGTGATAAAACAAAAGACAAACTCAAAGTCTGTTCTACTGCCAAAGTACAATTTGAATCCATAAACCTTTCAGTGCAATTAAAACACTCCCCCCTCCCCCCAGAGTACGTATAATGTGGAGATGGAGCGATCAAATTGGCTTGTGCAGGCGCAACATCAATTGTTGCTTCGCAAGACCATGACAGATGTTTGCGGCTTGGGGAGACCTTCAACCAGCAGTGGAGAGATCATGACTGACACTGATGCTATTCAGCATATTGTCCTTCTGGATCGACATTGTTGCTGGACTGCAATGAATGGCTCCATGGTGTCCGTGGAGAGCTCTTGCCTACAACACGAGGCAGCCCAGCAGCGTTTGTAAAGCAGTCTACACCCTGCTGATAACACTCGGAAAATCACAACTTCTTCCAGACTTTGCTTGTAAAACACTGTCATGCGCCATATCCATTGCGGCACACTGCTCGGGCGCGTATGACTGCTGCGAAATTATATATTTTCAACATTTGCAACAAATTTCAGGGATTCAGTCTCTCCTAAAAGCACATTAAGCCAACAATGACTGTTTTGCTTTTACCACTTCATGCGTTAGTGGGACACGAGTTGCTGAGCAGGAAGCCTCTACAGCTGCAGGTATTTACATAATCAGTCGAGGGAAATCCACTGCTTGATGAAGGTCTCCCGACGCCCCCCACCACCTCCCTCGACCCCGTGGTGTAACAATGCCCCCAGCGCGTGCACGTGGCCCGATCTCATCGCCCCATCTCTGCCGTGGACGTCCTCGAGGACACATCCCATTTCTTGGCTGCCACTCCGCCTAATATTATTCGTGATTGACATGAACATTATTTTTAAAGTGATTGAAGCAGACTTTAAGCTTTATTTATTTATTTACCCTACATTGCCCACAATTTTCCGAGACAGTGCATGACGGTTTTGTACGACTGCATGTGCGTGTTGTATACGTGTTGGCGTTTTGTTTCGCGAGTGCGTTACGCGTGCTGCGTTGCTGTACAGAGCCCGCTATGTACACGGCGGTCGTATAAACCACTACGCACAAAACAACATCGCTGACCGCCGTTATCGACACAATATATGCTCAAAGCAATCATAACACGACTGCAACAACAACACGAACTTTACTCGTGTCACACGTGCAACGGAATGAAGCCAGGATTGAGACGTGACTGAAGGCACACTCACGCCCACTCACATCGTGCAACTAAAGCCTTAATAGTCACCACTGTTGTTTGCGAACTCTTGTTATGGTCAGGGGGTCTACGAGGTGGTGGAATTGACAAATGCCCAACACGTTTGTTACCCTCAACTCATATCTGTTCACTTGCACACGACTTGGTTAAAGTGACTGAAAATTCAATCTTGACTTAAAGCTTTCGTGACTGCAGGAAGTCATACTCTTTGGGTCTTTCGGTAAAGTCACGTAGATAGGTTCAAATTAATTAAAAAAACAATAAACAATAAACTACGACGTTTCGATCGCCGAGTGTCTTCCGTGCAGCAGCTGCAGGGTTCTAGCCGAGGACAGAGCGTCGTCAGCGAAGAGGAGCGGGGTGTGAAAGTGAGCAGACATTGGGGTTGAGAAACAAACACAATTTAACACGTAGGCTTTCGCGACCAATATTATTCATAATAAAGGTTTTTGGGTTAACCCAAAAACCTTTATTATAAACAAAAACAACTCGGTTTGGCTGACGCTTCCCTCGCAGGGCTGCGATGCGTTCAGTGTACCCGTGGCGACCGGAGCCGTATTCGCGTGCAGCGTCAGACCGGCGTATGCCTCACGGGATTTCGCAAAAGAAGGAACGTCGTCCGCTCGCTCGAAATCCACAATCGCTCACCAAATTGACGAATTCTATAAAACCTGGTCGCCTCGCTTCAGCCAGGCCGGGGACGACAGAGCGCCGGTGGCCGTCCCAGATCACTCCTTGAAATCCGCAGTTGAGATGCCATCGCCCACGGTCTAGTTGCAGCCTCCGTAGCGGGCGGCTCCGCTTGCAGGGGGAGCGAATGCCGCAAAGCTGTCCACGCGTCTTTACCTCACGCGAGATGGAATTGGCGTATTTAACTCACGCAGATTGCTCATCATGTTGCGAAGGAAATTATAACATAACGCCCGTGCTATTTTAATGTTTAATTTCAAGTCTCGCTTTGTGTCAAAAGTCTCCTTTAGGATTATTCTGCATTTATATGTTTGGCCACTTACTCTGGAAAAAAGAACAAAGTGCGTGCATGATGGGAATGCAAAACATCGAACTGGCCAAAAGTCCCAGTTGCAGCAGTAAGCATTGGATTCTTGATTCCATCTGTGCGGAGCTTTGAGTGTTACCCCCTCGTATGTGTGGTGGCTTTTCTTCGGGCCAAACACTCATTTATGGAATTAGCCACATTTTCCGACGCAGGACCCTCCTAAAAAGTCTTGAGGCTCAGTGAGTCTTTCCCGGGTAGACAATGGCATAATTATTATTATTACCAACGATGATCATGAGGTTCATGATCATGAGGTGCAAATTTAGAGTAGTGGTGATGATGAAATGCCAAGGTATGGTATTTTCAATTTGTGGCAGAAAATAACAGTTGCATTGGGGATACTGTAAACAGATCATTATAATAACACGAGAGGTGTGAGTGGATGGGTGGTATGCTGTGAGGCGTGTGTGTGGACGGTATGTGTGGATGGGTGCTATTCTGCGAATTCAGAGAGACTGATGAATACTTTTGGTACATTCCTCGTATACCCCGGCAGCTGCCCTTCCAATTCCTAAGTCGTCGGGGGGGGGGGGGCTCGTGCACCCTAATTAACAGCAGACCCCCAGTGGACCCCAGTGGACCCCAGTGGACCCCCATTCAGAGGTAACTTCGTGGGATTGCTGGGGAGTCGCCGAGGTTCTAGTTAAAGGGGTCGTCGTTGATACCAATGCCACCTACGCCACCACACGTCGCCATCGCTTCCTTCTCTCTGCCAGACACAGCCTCGTTGGCACGGCCGACGCATAACCCTGAGGTTTGCTCTCAGTCTCGTCCCCGTCTTGGGGGGTGCCCCTCTTGTGTCCCCCCCCCGTTCACTTCAATCGAACCAATGCCGTGTTCCTGGTGGCCGCTGGAGCTGCTTTGGTCCCTGCTCTTCGTCACCTCCAGCCCCTGTGCTTTCTTTCCTCGGGCTGGAGAGGCCGGCAGGGAACTGTGCTCCTGGGGCCTCTGTCAAGTTTGAATGGCAGAATTATCCGCTTCGCTTGGGGTCGACGGCTCGATTCCCCGTAATTACTGCGGCGCAGTTCTCAGCCGAATCACGTGCGTCGTCTGACGATAAACTGGATGCCGAAGACCCGTGGCAACGTTCACAACTGCCGATCACCCTGCGCCAAGCAACGGCGAAAGCCACATGCGAGAATTAGATGTAAACAGCTACAACTCTCCCCACGCCATCACCGTGCAGCAAGCCTCCCAATGCAACACAGCAAGACTCGCACTTGGGAATTACACTGCAGACTGTGTCCGTCTGACACACGCTGCCTTCGTGATAGCTTAAGGAATGTCGCGTCTACCAAAACGAACTCATGATCTGATGGGAGCATTTTGTCTGAGGGATACACTTGGGAGAGTGATCACTCTTTGAGCTGATTTCAGGTCAAGAGGTCATCACGGCCAATACCGTTGATGCCACAATGCCTCGCATCGCTTACTTCCCCATGCCGGAGCCACAGCGCTGCTGCCGCTGCTGCCACTGTACGTGGGGTCCCGCTATCGAGGACGCTTTTGGTTCCCAAGCCGGAGACTCAGCATCGCAGCTCTCCGATGTGGTTTTCGGGTGGTTCCCCGTATTGTTCGGCATCATGTCCGACGTTTCGATCCATGTGCTGGAAGCTTATTTAGGAAGTGAACCGAACTGAATAAAATGAGCTTCCAGCACGTGGAGCGAAACGTCGGGCATCGTGCCGAACAACACGCGGCACGACCTGAAAACACGAGATCTTCGCAGCAGAACCGGGACAACGTGCATGACAATAGCGACTCTCGTCCCGTCAGCAGACAACCGAAACCGTGCGGAACGGCCTGGGATGGACGAGCGGATTGTACTGCGTGCGAGAAGGTCAGCTGTGAGCTGCGAACACCAAGCCACCGTCGCCCATGCTTAGGCCCGTGCAGCAAGTGCTGTGCGTGGCTGCACGTAGCTCAGCCTTGCCACTCATTCCTGTCCGACGCTGTGCAAAGCGCCACCTCCTGTGTCGGGCCATTCTGTTGAAGATCTTTGCCGACAGTAATTGACCATTTACATCGGCCATGAAATGTATCTCCAATTATCGCGGTTTGGTTATGTACGGTGCGAAAGAAGTTCAACATAGATACGCACGTATTCTTGGTTCTTTCGGTAAAGTCACGTAGAAGGGAAACAATAAAATAATAAAAATATAAAACAATAAAATTCTCACCACTTTAGCGAAAGAACCAAGAATATGAATCCCTGCATTCACGAAAGCTTTAAATCAAAATACATACGCACGGTCAATGCGCCGATGTAGATGGGCGCACGTATAATTAAAAAAGACGGTGCCAATCTGCGACTGGCGCTGGGCTCTCGGCGCCGATCGTGGCGCAGATTCCTGAGCCCCATGCTGGGCACGCCTCCTCGCGTTGCGCACTCCTCCGTTTGCGTTTCTAATTTATGCGTTTTAATATATGAACATAATAAATGTAATACTGCACCATTCGCAAATGGAACTGGTCCGAGATTCCTGCTTTAAAAAAGTGGCCGAACATTTTTAAAACGCAACCTTCTCGGTCTAATGTTCCAAGTGACAGATTTATTATACACACGGCCTGGCTTAACTAGTGAAGGTCTGCCCTTCGCTGTCACGGCCAACAAAACTAAAGCACAGCTCATCGTATAAGCTGTCAAGTGACAGCCCGACCGTGACCTCAACCCTCACGCCAATCAAGCCTTCCTCATCGACCCACCGCTTAGCCGCGTCGCTCGCTGAAGCCGGTCGTGTTTACCCTCGACTCCGCGTTACGGTATAACAGCAAGCGTGGATTCTCAGGGCCCTGTAGGCACAGGAAATCGCGGGGCGATCCCAGGGGCGGCTTCATCGAGGAAGCAGCTTGCCGCTCACACGAGGGCGGAGCTCAACTCTGTTGACGTTCCTGGTCCGGTCGTGAAAAATTCCAGGTAATCGTGGCAGAGGCCAGTCTTTCGAAGGAATGGCAGACTTAATTCACGATGGGCTTCATTCCAGACGAGTTGGGTTACCCATGGACCCAATCACCCCACGAGTCACCATCTCACTCCCACGGAGAAAGAGCACGATGTGGAGATCGAGGGAGAAGCTCGTGGTGGCAGTGCGGGCGGGGAGGGGACGGTTGCGGCTGAGGGGGGAGGGAGAGCTGAGATTCATGGCGGACGTGAAGCATCCACTAAGATATTGTCTGGCAGTGTGTGCAATTTATAATAATTACGACCAGATCGAATCCATCAGGCTCCTTCTCAATCTCATTCAGGCCTCATAGTTTCATTTAAAAAGCTCCTTGTGCGATGAAAAATAGTTTTTTTACTTTTAGTCTCAGCTCTCCGCGTCTCTCTCGCTATATTTTAAATATTTATATACAAGACCGAGTGGGCCACGAGTGAAAGTGAAATGAATTGCGGTGGCACAAGATCAGCATGGGCTGTCACGTCGCCGTCGATGGAACTTCAACCGGCAGCGCAGAGAAAAGGGCCGACTGCAGTTTAGCACGCACCACGCACGCACCACGCGGCGTCGGACATCCATTTTAAGCAGCTTGTTGTTGTTGTTAACAAGGTACCACTACGCCACGTCACTCCCCACCAGGCAGCCAGGTGGTGAGTGTCAAGTAGCCACGTGGGGCCCATGCTGAGTAGCCAGGGAGGGGGTGGGGGCCATGAGGATGATTGAGGTGGGGGGCCAGGTATCCCCACTGCCCCCTGTGTTCCCGTGCCCGCAATGATGAGTGATGAGCGCTCTCGGCCGAGGGCATCCGTTGTCATTCACTCCCGGTGTGGAAGCAACCGGAATCACAAGCGGAGCCGTGAACTGCCAAGGGAAACCACGGTTCCGTGTGCTCTACGCCAAATCTTACCACACCCCCCCGGGTGTCTGGAAACTAGAGCCAGGCAACATTGACCGAGGCCGTTTCCAACGACGTTGACTTGCGTCACCTCGACGTTTAAATGACCCCAGCCTTGACCTAGCACTCAGCTGATTCCCGGATCACCGTTGGCCAGAGCAGTGATCGGCTTCAGCTCAGGTCATCGGCAGAACAAGGCCTCCTATCATCACGGTGGACCCTGGACCTCGTGACTGCCCATGATCCTCCCGAAGGTGCGTGGAAGACACACGCACACGACATACACACACGCATACGCGCACAGTATTAGCGTTGGGCAACATACGCAACCGTATGGCGCAACACTGACGTCCTTCATGGTTGTGCTGTACGCACGATGCAGACGCCAGTAGCGGCGTAGTTTGGTCTTGCCCGCTGTGCGAGTGGGAACACCGCGTTCGCTGTGCGTGCGGCGCCGTCCCGCGGGCCACGTGCCGACGTCGAGATCTTTACGACGGGAACTGCCCCAGGAACTCTGCCGCAGCGTAGTAGCAGAATCTGTACTGATCCTGGACACAGCAGCAACAGCAGCAGCAGCGATTGTGGCAGGAGCAACAGCAGCGGCAACAGCAGCGATATCGTCAATCAACAGCTCCGATAGTTAACGATCAATTAATCAGTAGTTTAACACGTAGGCTTTCGTGGCCAATATCATCCATAATAGAGGTCTTTTGGGTTAGATCGCGTAAATTTACGCGATTTAACCAAAAAGACCTCTAATATGGAGTTCACTTGCTGTTAGGCGCGGTTCGTCCACTAGGGGCGTTGGGGCGCTGCCCTACCAAACAGCTGGAGACGAGAAATGCTTTTTATAATAAAAAAAATACTTTTCTAGACGTTGTTTTGTTGTGTTTAAAATGTTTTAAATCTAATGATTCTTTCAACGTGAATTGCCTAATGAAGATAACATTTTAAGTTATTCATATGAGAAACCGCAGCAACTCCACAGTCCGATTTGTGCCTGACCATTTGACCATTTGACCATTTACAAAAACAAGTATCTTTTTTCCAGACCAAATAAATAATAAAACACAATCAAAGCATTAAACACATTAGCTCTACGAGCCAATAAACGTGCTTTTTCTGTAATGCAACTTAAAGTCTAAACTATTGTCAGTTTACAGCCCTCAGAAAGTGGTGGAAATTCCACACTCCTATGGCGGGGCAATTCTATCCATACTTCCTGTCTGCGGTAACTGACCGCACCTGCACGCACGATGAACAAGACCGATCGCAAAGTTGCGATGATCGCAAGATCTGCGGCGGACTTATTTTTTATCGACGAGCGGTTAAAGAACGGTGAAGCGGCCTCCTGTCCCGCCGGGGCGCGAGGTGGCCCATGGGAACGGCGCGACGGCAAACTCCGGTGCCGCCACGCAGCGGGCTGGGGAACGAGCGCCGAGTCCCTCACCAGCGTCTCCACCATGTCGGGCTTGTTGTTGCGCAGCGTCTTGACGGCCGTGAACACGTCCACGACGCTCTGGCCCTTCACCATGTCACAGAGCACGCTCACGGCGCAGTACGTGCCGCTGCGACCGCCCCCGCTCCTGCGGGGAGAGACGCGAACGCTGCTCGTCGCGACTCTAGGACCCAGCGGGGGGTACGAGGACTTTCCGCCCGCCCTGCTCGGAGTGCAACGCAGGCACCACGGTGGAAACGGTAAGGACTCATGGTGAGTGCACGTCGTAGGAGTGATTGTTACATAGACTTGTTAAATACGTACGGTGAGAGTGCATGGTAAGTATTCACAGTGAGTACATGCTAAGTGCACACAATAAGTACACTGGGTAAGAACAAATACGTGGTAAATACACCCGGTAAGTACACATGGTAAGAATGAAAGTACAGTGACTACACATGGGAAGTACACATGGTAAGCGTGAATACACGGTGAGTACGCACGGTGAGTATGCACGGTGAGAGTGGACTCAGCCTGAGTGCAGGCCATAAGTGCGCATGGTCGGTGTGCTGGGGGCATGTGCTGGTGGCACCCACAGGCAGTGCACGAGCGTGCGGCCCTCTTCCTCGGCGAGCTCCGCGTGCCAGCGCCGCACGCGCCCCGCCACGCGCAGGAAAGAGAGCGGCGAGGCGGGCGCGTCGCGGTGCGACGGCCAGCCCAGGTACTGCAGGTGCTGCACTTCCCGGTGGCCGTCCTGGGGCTGGCGAGGAGCGCGGCAGACGCGGCAACGTCCCCGTTAGTGGATGTGCGCCCGTGTGTACGCGCGTGTGCACGCGTGTGTGCGTGCTCATGTGTGTGGCTGTGTGCGTGTGTTCATTCTTCATCTCTCCCAGAGCGGTGCAACCCCTTCGTATTAGAGCATGGCCCATGGAAGTGAATATCATAGAGCTACCTCTGAGGTCCCTTGATGTAATTCCTGGTCTACACATCTGTGGGCAGCACTTTCCTACCTGCTCGGTCACGGAGTGACATTCGACGCATGATGGTCAAGCCGATATTGTAATTCTCAAGAGGTGGAATGTAGCCAAGATAAGCGCAGATCCAAATTTTTGTGTGTAATCATCAGTAACTGGGCTGAGACCATCAACTCACTGCACTTGAGAATCCATCGTAGACCTGGGTTCAAGGCTGGGGCAGTCTCTGCAGTGGCAGCTCAGCGCTCTGATGAGAGATGAGCCCCCCCTCCCCCCACCAAGCCCACTCACCCCGAGCTGCCCAGCCTCCCCCGTGCTCATTCCTCATTCATGGTATAAACAAGCGGCGAGCAGCTCGCGTAAACCTCTGAGCTATAGGTTTCCTGGGCACCCAGGGACAAATGCCCAGACTCACACGGGGTAGCGACCTGTAGGCCCTTGCTAGCATCTGCACTGGTCTCTCACCGTGGCCTACTCCACACGTGTGCACAGCTCGCCCAAATCCTCCAGCGTTGTGTTTAGTTTAAGAATAGGAAATTAAAATAACCTCACTTCTGGGTTTAAAGATTTGCCATGGCGCCCCTTGAGAATCTCCGCTCAACTCGTGTGCAGTCAAAAGTTTATATCAGTTGACGTCAGCTGTCCCTTTCATTACCGTAAAGCACAAGGGGCCCGTGCCAATTACTCCGTCTTGGCAACTTCCCCCGCTGTAAATCGAGAAAAAAATGTTGGCCGTTCCAACGCTCGCATCCCTTTTAAAATTATGTTTTTTTTAAAAGCGAATAACGATTTTAAAAAGCACTGGTGATTATCGTTTAGTGAAGGGATTACACAATACCACGCCGCAAGGCTTTCGATGGAAGTGTTCTAAGGACGGTGGAAACATGTGGAGATGAAGGCGGCAGCCATCAAAGCCATTGTCAAATTACAAATTCATCGGGGGAGCGATTACAAGCATACGGAATAAGTCCACATCATGCCAAGCTACGCTCGTGGTCTGCTGGGCACCACTCACTTTCCATGAATTATTCCGTCAACCATCGTGACCCACGTGCAAACGATGGAGCTACGATCCAGTGGTTGATGGTGCTTTGGGTGGCAGATTCTTGCCAGAAAGGCACCAAGTGTCAACCAAAAAATAAATTGATTTGACTTGCATCACGGAGAGTGTTGCTATGTGTGAGAGATAACCGCAAGTAGGTGCAGCGAGGGGCCAGGTTATCGCAGTACCGCGAGCAGGGGTCCCAAGGGGTGGGTTGAGAGCTGGAGAGGGCGGCAGAGCTTTGTACCATAACGATTTGTGTGGAATGTGTACCCGGAAATATTTTTCAGTAATGGTGGTCGAAGATATTTATCGGACATCGTGCCTAACAACACGTGTCTCAACGCATCGGAGAGCTGTTTAGCACAACCGTCAAAAGCCACGTGGTGCCTATTTATTATTTATTATCTCCGGGAAAATAGCTTTTTGTTGCAGTGAGGCCTCGCCTGGCTATAAATACAACTCATGCATTCTATACGATTAGGGTGGCTCCCAGGGGCTGTGGCAAGACGGCTGCAGCCACCGCAGATTGAGGGAGACATTCTACAAGCAGCTCCACGTGTTTCAGGATCCCGCTCGTTGCTGCGATCTCACCGGCTAGAGCTCTTCCACAACCATCAACCATTTCAAGAGCCTCAATTTATACCTTGCCTTGACCAACATTAGCTCCCCTTTAGGGCCTCTAACCTAGGAAGTGCCCTCAGGTGACTTAGGCCACACGTGTCCACGCCTAAGTAAAAGCGGTTTCAGCGAGGCATTTCTTTCATGTTGTGTATTGTTGTGTTTGTCACTTCAAAACGATTCTGATGTTGCCCGTGCAACATTTCTCCTGCACAGTAGCAATTCCGTAGCCTGTGCCAAATGTCATCGCAATCAGGAAAGTCACAAGAAACCAATAATCTCGCCCAAAAAGTGAAATTCGAAGTCAATGAAACTAACCCGGGAGATGTTGTGGATGCGGAAGATGCGAGAGATGATGTCTCCGTCACGACAGCACGACAGGGTCTCCACGTGTACCGCTCCATACTGTAGCGAGCCCTCCTCGGGCCAGTACTGTGGACATGTCTGCAGTAGCAAAGAAGCACACGGACATGGAGACAGATACACGCGTACACACGCAGAGCCACTGCTTACAGACTATGGGGACAAGCGCTCCGAACGAGTGCACACTCAGTCGATGTCATGAGAACCATTGCAAGACAAAGTGGGGTCACCTGTGTAGAGGGAATGAAGAGGGGATGAAGAGGGGCCTTAGAAACAGAGAGAGATGCACGGAAATAGACATAAAGGGAGAGAAATACAGATAAAATTAGAGACTCACACAGATACAAGGTAGGGAAAGATGGAGGCAAAGAGAGAAACAGAGAGAAACAAATACATGTCATTGATATATTTGTGAAGGGTCCTGCATTGGGATATAGAACCAAGCCCTTTATTAAACAAGTATTTTTCATGAACAGGAAACTGATATGCCTGGAGAAAACCCTCATATAACCCTCAAAAGGTCCGCACGACCCTACAGAGGGGTTCACGACCCTACAGAGGGGTTCACGACCCCACAGACGGGTTCGCGACCCCACAGAGGGGTTCACGACCCCACAGACGGGTTCACGACCCCACAGGCGGGTTCACGACCCCACAAACGGGTTCACGACCCCCCAGACGGGTTCACGACCCCACAGACGGGTTCACGACCCCCCAGACGGGTTCACGACCCCACAGACGGGTTCACGACCCCCCAGACGGGTTCAAGACCCCACAGAGGGGTTCACGACCCCACAGAGGGGTTCACGACCCCATAGACGGGTTCACGACCCCACAGGTGGGTTCACGACCCTACAGAAGGGTTCACGACCCTACAGAAGGGTTCACAACCCCACAGAGGGGTTCAACCCCACAGACGGGTTCACGACCCCACAGACGGGTTCACGACCCCACAGAGGGGTTCACGACCCCACAGACGGGTTCATGACCCCACAGAGGGGTTCACGACCCCAAAGACGGGTTCACGACCCCACAGAGGGGTTCACGACCCCACAAACGGGTTCACGACCCCACAGACGGGTTCACGACCCCACAGATGGGTTCACGACCCCACAGACGGGTTCACGACCCCAAAGACGGGTGCACGACCCCACAGACGGGTTCACGACCCCACAGACGGGTTCATGACTCCACTGCCTTCTTTTGCCCACTTCACAGTACAGCGGGCTGGGGAGTTTTCACAAATTTGCGTGCTATCAACCAACCCATTTCTCTGTAAACATTGGCAGGAGGAGTGAGGTTAATGTAACGGAGGTGGTTTCGGGATAACGGAGAAGGCCTCGCACCTCAGACGGTCGCATCTCGTTGAGCATGATGACCGACGTGCAGTGGTAGTCGAAGACCAGCCTCCAAAAGTCCTTGACGGTGTTGGGCAGAGGATGCTGGGTCACGATGAAGGCCGACGGACGATGGTAGCTCTGTGAGGCAGAGAGAGAGAGATTCGATGAGGAGAGTGTGGGACAGATGTGACCTCTTGGGGTCATTGGGAGCGAGCGATGTGAGTAGAGACCTCGTGATTCAACGCACCCTTGGCTTATCACAATTCGTGATCACGAAACGATTCACAAGTTGTAGATTACAGAACCGGCTTTGATGGAAATACACAGATACTAGACTAGAGCCATCAACATCAACCCTTGACTATCCACTGCTGGATGAAAGCCTCTGTACGCCATCGCCTCCCCCCACGGTCCAGTGTTGTTACCATTTATTTCACTCCAGCACATTAACTCATGAAAACCTACGGCACCCATGGTGATGTGGAAAATATACTGTGCATCTGAAATATTGATTGGTGTGTGCACGATTGTGCTGCGTGTATTTTAAGTGAATAAATGTTACATCAGGTACGGGTGAGCGTGGGTGAGCGTGTGTGAGCCTGATCGCCCATGATGGGTGAGAAGAGTTGAATAAGTTGAATATTCAGTCTTCGCTTCACTCCCCATGGATTCTCTCTGAATCAGCAGTCCAGAGGTGAGGCTCTTGCATTCACCAAACACGCGGAATACAAACTCCTGCCACGTTGTGCGCGTGTGTGCCATAGCGTTAATTCAGTCAAAATTTATTGCACGGCTACAATTAAATACTAATAGAGATGATCGCGAACGGTATTTAAAGTAATGGGGATTGAGATTGGACACGCGACTGGTCACGCGTTAATCATTCTCATGACTTTTAAATTAACGTTTTACAATGGTTTTGGAGTCGTTTTAATGCTCCGAGTATACGTTGTTGGTGCGTGGTGATCCGCGAGTGCAGAACCACCACTCTAGAGGTTTCCTTGCAACAACCGCTCTTCACGAGCGGTGTGAGGAGTGCAAAGGGGAAACTTGAGCGCAGCACACGTGGTCTGTACATGCGCGGAGATGAGCAAACACAACACAAAATAAGATATTTTTTTGGTTAAAGTGCGACAGATTTGGAGTGCAAAGCAGACCATTATTACACCTCCACCTGGGCAGCTTTCACTGAGCCCGAGGTGAGAGACTGGAGCACGCTCTCATATTAATAGAAACAGTTCTAAGACGTTAATGTAATGTGCCACTTACATTTTTTTTTATCGAAAATGACGTGTAGGAGAGTTTGATTTTACTTCACGCCGCTTCAGAGGATGGCTCTCTGCTCGCGCGTTGCAGCAACGAGACCTCACTAACCACCTGCAGTGTCGTCTCAACCCGGCTCAGAATTATTTGGTGAAATGTTCAAATGCGTGGTCTAGTGAGACAGCGAACCGACAAAATGCGACTTAAAAAATAAAGGCGGCGGCACAGCCTCTCCCGCACACACGACGTTCTCGCAAATCGACAACGGCTCCCTGTTGCGCGCGGCCGGTGTCTTGCTACACGCTGCTACGGTAGGGTTGCCACCCATCCTGGTTTTCCCAGGATTGTCCACTCTCTCAAGGAAACTGTACCGGGAAGGATGTCAGTCTTCCCGGGACATAAATATATCCCGGTTTTTGTCAGTTGAGTAAAAACAATGCATCACCACTTGAGACGATGCGCTTCCCTGTAGCCCCCCTTCTCCGCGATTTTGAGATACTCTTCCCCCGTGTGATGTGTCCTGGTTTATTGTAGCTCAGAGGTGGCAACCCAACACTGCTGCGGATCTTCACATCGACTCATGACGACGCCCGCAGTAGCGCGGGGCCATCGCTTGAGAAGAAGAAATGCTCAACAGCGTTTCGTTATCGCGGCAGAATAACACGGCAGGTGTGAGTTTACAGAGAGAGAGAGATGACGGTGAGCGATACGGAATAACGGAAGAGGCAATGGAGATAGCGGTGGGGATTAAGAGAACAGAGGAGACAGCGACGGTAATGGAGTTAGCACGGTGAAGCGTTAATACACGCGAGACGACCGTCTCCTCCCAACCCTATCAGCAAAGCGGGGGCAGCGGGGGCAGTGGGGGCAAATCCAGGCTCTGCTGTGAAGCGCCAGGCCCCGGTGCCCCAGCGGGGGGCTTCGTTCCGACTGCTCTTGCTCTCCGCAGATATTTTATCAAAGTTCTGCTGCTCGCCGTGTGGCTGGCACTAACTACAGGGCCTGAACGAGCCGTGGCAAGAGAGACAAACACCGCCTATTTATTAAACATAGCACACTAAAGGGCAGTGTAGCCATCGCATCGCAAGTACGGCCGCCTTTGTCTTCCCATGCTGTTGCTGACTACACAAAAAATCATCATCATTATTCTTGCATATATTATACAGTTCTAAAAACCTCAGTGTATTGTACCACTTTGTATTAATTGGTGATATGGCATGAGACTAACAAGTGACGATGTGGTTGTTTAAACACAAGTTACAAGCATAATCTTAGTTCTTTCGGTAAAGTCACGTTGAAGGGAAACAACAAAATAATAAAATATATATAAAACAATAAAAAGTCTCACGACGTTTCGACCATAACACAAACGGTCGTCTTCAGGTGTGTCGGTTTGCATAAATTTATTTATTTTTAAAACGGTGTATTTATTTATAAAAAAAAACGTTAGCGCCACGCGCAGCGATTTGGCAGTTTATTTAGGACTAGTCCATCTATATTCTGAAAAGAGGAGGGGGGAGACGAATTTTTTTTTTTATGTATGCTGTCTGAAAGCCACTGTAAGCGTGAACAATCAATTAAGACCTGAAATGGTTTATCAAATCTTTCCAATGATTGCTAAGATAGAATCCATCTTCTCGGTTGAAATTGTCTCTGTGCTTGTATATGTGGATAGCCTCATGAACGAATCTCTCATGGTAGCCAGATGGCTTACAAAGAACCTCTGTCTTGGAAAAGTCAATGTCATGTGAGCCTACTGAATTATAACAATGATCTGCCACGGCCGAGGTGTTGGTCCTACCATGTTTAAGGTCTGCTTTGTGTTCACGAATGCGGTCCGAGACATGGCGTTTGGTTTCTCTAATGTAACTACTACCACAGAGGCAACTTAGTTTGTAGACACCAGGGTATTGTATGTCCGGAATCACATCTTTTACAGACGGAACCAGATCACGGATTTTATGTAATGTGTTGAAACGGACCTGGATCTTGTGTTTATTCAAGATTTTGGAGATCTTTTTTGTGATCCCCGCAATGTAGGGTAAAGTGATGGTTTTGAAAGGCTCCTCAAGAGGGTCCTTCTTCATGGTTTGAGTGATAGCTTTGCGGATTGTATAGTCGGAGTAACCATTAGCCTTAAGAGCTTGGTGTACGTGCTTGAGTTCACTGCCTATGTGTTCCTGGTCAGATATGCATTGGGCTCTATGATACAGAGTCTTGATGAGATAATTCTTCTGTGATGGATGGTGGTGGGAATCCGGTTTCAGATAAGCATCCGTATGGGTAGCTTTCCTGTAGACAGAGTGGCTCATTGAACCATCAGGTCTCTTTTTAATTAGGACATCCAAAAAAGGTATCTTGCCATCTATTTCGACTTCCATGGTAAATCTGATGGCTGGGTGTATGGAATTGATGTGGTCGAAGAATTGGTCTAGAGCAGGCCGGCCATGTGGGCAGATGACAAAAGATCTGAAATCGCTGCAACCCTCAAAAACGCTAAGATGCCAGCTAGCAACCTCAGCAAAGATGAGCGTTTTGAATTATATAAATTAAAAAAGAGGGATGATATTGTAGTCTTCTCAGCTGACAAGGGCAATGCTACTGTCATCATGGATAAAATAGAATACAACAACAAAATTAAAGAATTACTCGACGATGGTAGTTATACAAAAATAAAAAGAGATCCCACCAACAGCCTCGTCACACAAACCAACAAAATAATTTCTGATTCAACCGCATTAATTGATCAATCTGAACAGTTTTCGTTGAAACCTTCTGCTGCCAGGCCACCAAGATTATACGGCTTACCAAAAATACATAAAGTAGATACACCCCTTCGTCCCATCGTCTCTACTATCAACTCCAATTCTTCGACCACATCAATTCCATACACCCAGCCATCAGATTTACCATGGAAGTCGAAATAGATGGCAAGCTACCTTTTTTGGATGTCCTAATTAAAAAGAGACCTGATGGTTCAATGAGCCACTCTGTCTACAGGAAAGCTACCCATACGGATGCTTATCTGAAACCGGATTCCCACCACCATCCATCACAGAAGAATTATCTCATCAAGACTCTGTATCATAGAGCCCAATGCATATCTGACCAGGAACACATAGGCAGTGAACTCAAGCACGTACACCAAGCTCTTAAGGCTAATGGTTACTCCGACTATACAATCCGCAAAGCTATCACTCAAACCATGAAGAAGGACCCTCTTGAGGAGCCTTTCAAAACCATCACTTTACCCTACATTGCGGGGATCACAAAAAAGATCTCCAAAATCTTGAATAAACACAAGATCCAGGTCCGTTTCAACACATTACATAAAATCCGTGATCTGGTTCCGTCTGTAAAAGATGTGATTCCGGACATACAATACCCTGGTGTCTACAAACTAAGTTGCCTCTGTGGTAGTAGTTACATTGGAGAAACCAAATGCCATGTCTCGGACCGCATTCGTGAACACAAAGCAGACCTTAAACATGGTAGGACCAACACCTCGGCCGTGGCAGATCATTGTTATAATTCAGTAGGCTCACATGACATTGACTTTTCCAAGACAGAGGTTCTTTGTAAGCCATCTGGCTACCATGAGAGATTCGTTCATGAGGCTATCCACATATACAAGCACAGAGACAATTTCAACCGAGAAGATGGATTCTATCTTAGCAATCATTGGAAAGATTTGATAAACCACTTCAGGTCTTAATTGATTGTTCACGCTTACAGTGGCTTTCAGACAGCATACATAAAAAAAAAATTCGTCTCCCCCCTCCTCTTTTCAGAATATAGATGGACTAGTCCTAAATAAACTGCCAAATCGCTGCGCGTGGCGCTAACGTTTTTTTATAAATAAATACACCGTTTTAAAAATAAATAAATGTATGCAAACCGACACACCTGAAGACGACCGTTTGTGTTATGGTCGAAACGTCGTGAGACTTTTTATTGTTATATATATTTTATTATTTTGTTGTTTCCCTTCAACGTGACTTTACCGAAAGAACTAAGAATATGAATTACTGCAGTCACGAAAGCTTTAAATCAAAATTTAAGTTACAAGCAATCAGAAGAGGCTGAATTAGCTTCACGGTCGTACCAACTCATCAAGGGCATCTCTCATCAGCTGCCACATGGCAGCTGTGGATAAATAATATTGTTGTAATAATGAGATGCAGATTACATCACTTAACGGTGATGCCTGTGAGAAGTGGTTCTTGGTTCACGCGTCGCAAGTTTGGCGAAGTTGGCATACAGATGGGTGACCATCTGAGCGAGTGATTACCCAAGTGAGTGAATTATTGATTGAGTCTGGGAGCAAATGAGTGAGCGAGCGAGTAAGTGGTATGCGATTAAGTGACTTAGAAACTGAGTAGCTCAGTGACCATGTGACTGGGATAGTGAATAATTAGTGAGCAGGTAGGTGAGTGGGCAAGCGAGCAAGTAAGAGGATGAGTGAGTTAGCATGTAATGGAGTATGTGAGTGAGTGAGCAAGTGGGTGGGTTAGTGAGTTAGCAATTGGGTGAGCGAGCGAGAGGATGAGAAAACTAGCAAGCGAGTAAGTGAATGGGTTAGTGAGTCAGCGAGGTGGTAAGTGAGTGAGTGAGCAAATGATAGAGCCGCTGAGAGAGCGAGCGGGTGGACGGTGTGGAGGGCTCACGTCGAGCAGTGCGGCGTTGATGTAGTTGCTGCTGTCGCCCTCGAGCGTGAGCAGGAAGGGCAAGCAGCGGTCCGGGGGCAGCGCCTCCTTTACGCGGTTCTTGCTGCTGTTCCGGGGCAGCAGGGCGATGCTGCAGTCCTCGGCTCGCAGTGCCGGCGTCACGGTGTTCAGCGTCTGGGGGAGGAGGGCACCGACGTTGGGGAGTCGGGGGTGGGGGGCAGAAAGGGTCAGGGTGGAAGTGGAGCAAGGTCAGGGTTAGGTGGGGTCAGGGTTAGCAAAAGTTCACGGCTTCATAGGGGCCCCAGATTCATGAAAAACTTACGTGCATCAAATATGAAATCCTAATGAACGTCACAAGTTGATTAATCTCTCTGACCACTAACCATTGTCTGGATCTCTGTTCGCTCACGTCACAACATCTCTATCTCTTGATTACATATCTTCACTCTTACTACATCTCTATCTCTTGATTACATATCTTCACTCTTACTACATCTCTATCTCTTAATTACATATCTTCACTCTTACTACATCTCTATCTCTTGATTACATATCTTCACTCTTACTACATCTCTATCTCTTGCCTATATCTCTGGTCATCTCACAAGAATGTCATGAATTAAAATGGCGGCCCCCAAAAATTGTTTCTGCTCAGGGGACCCAATGGACCAACACTACTGCCGATCTCCACAGTGTCACACACAGGACCGGAGCACGCACTCACATGGTGCCAAATCTGCCGTAGCCACACAGCGGCTAATACCGAGCTGGATCCAAGGCAGAGTAACAACGTGGCGAGGCCAGGGGAGACCGGAGAGAGGTGGGGAGGGGTGCCACACACTGCCGGTCCTCAGAAGGACGACGGCGCGAGACAGAGGTGGCCGCGCCGGGCGAGCGAGCGAGCGAGCGGTGCCCACCATGAACTCCTCCTTGAGCGGGGTGGAGTGCGTCTGCGGGTCGAGGCGAGTCAGCTCCAGGTAGGCCGAGCGGAAATTGGCGGCGGGGATGGCCGTGTCGCCGCACAGGCAGGCCTCGAGCAGCACGTCGTGGATGAAGACGTACTGCTCCTGTTGCCGTGGTGATGGCGCAAGTACCGGGGCGGGGGTGTGGGGAGGGAGGCGGCACACGTGTCGGTTCCATTAAAGGCACAGCCGCGACAGCCTCAGGATTGTTTGAACGCTTTCCAATTCCAAGTGTCAATGCTTTACCTCAGTTCATTGTCTAGCAGAGGGTCATGATAATGCTCAGAAAGATCATCCGATATGAACTAAGGTTAAATTTTAAGTCGTGCCGCTATGAAGGACTTACTCTACAGAAAACTGGCCAACTTGATCAAAGGGTTTCCCAAACTCCAGGCCATAAAACACGAGTGAGAATGAATAATACTTCTTGGCTAATGCAATGACGTCACATTCCACGACATCATTAGACATTATGTCATCGCACGGAGTCACAAAGAGCACGCCATGTTAAATGATCTCGTTGTGCAGCTCCAGTGGTACCAAACATCATCTCGCTAATTGAATACCACCAGGAACAAACACGCATTGGAAAACATTACCAAATCCATATGCATTAATTTTACTCCTTGTTTCAGAAGGTATTCCTGCTCATATTGGAATGAGGAAGATGTGAAATTGTGAGTCTGTAATGAAGTGAAGATTGGCAAAACTCGAACTCTGTACCATGGGCAGGCTTGGATTCATGGGGCTGCAGGCTAGGGGATCGGATATTGATGGCCTCCAAAAATATATAGACCGCTTTTGAATGGTTCAAACTCAATCCTGTAGCACTATGACACATCCGAGTAATTACTACAGCTATAGCAGCATCACTGTGTGTATTACTACTGGTCACGTGCAGAATTAATAACTTTGGCTATTTTAACTTTCATTCAGCTTAATAGTTCGTACATCACATTTAAAAACCAGAACTGATAGGCAGTGGGCATGGGTGGTGGTAAAACAGTGAAGGGAAGAAATCGTACATATGTAGTATGTAGGATATATGTATTATGTTGTATGTATGTTGTATGTATGTATGTTGAGCTTCTTTCGCACCATACGTAGTCAACTGTGCTAATCGGAGGTGCGGAAGGACAACAAACTAAAATCAATACAAAAATAAATTTAAAAAATAGTGCGCCCCCCCCCAAAAAAACTATAGCAGCCCTGGGTCCCCTAAAACTTAATCCGACTCTGATCATGGGGGGCACAGGAAGCACAAGGTTGGGGTTAGGGAACTCCTGGGCCATGCTTCCCCATAAATCGGCGCTCACCTGAGAGGCGCAGGGTAAGGTCAGAGGGCGTCCAGGCCATAAAGATGAAAACAAAAACGGGGGCCATAAAGATAGTAATGGACGCAGGGGAGGAGAGCGCCATGCCGCTCGCGGCCAGGCCTATAAACAACGGTGGAAGCAAGCGGACTCAAATGAAAACAAAAGGAATAAAATAAATCAATGGCGCGGAATATTAAACGCCCACGGCTTCAACAACGCGAGTGTGTCGGGACTGAGATCAGGAGAACTGCGTCGCACGTGGAAGATTTATCCATTGTGCAAAATAACTTGTTTGCAATATTTAATAATGTCATACGCAGTCATATAATAACGTCATACTTTAATAACAGTGGCATACACAGTACTCTCTGGTTATTTTGGTAAAGTCACGTAGATAGAAAAAATAATAAAAGAACACAACGTTTCGATGGCAACACAAGCGTCTGTCACCATGTAGTCCAAAACCCCTTCCCCCCTCCCGTGCCTCTATAAAGCCACAACAGCAGAGCATTCTTTCTCACCTGATGACGGACGCTTGTGTTGCGACTGAAACGTCGTGTTATTTTATTATTTCTATCTACGTAACTTTACCGAAAGAACCAGAGAGTATGGATTTCTGCAGACACGAAAGCTTCAAATCAAGCTTGCATACATAGTAGTTATTCAGGAAAGGGTCAATGAGCTTTAACAGGAGGGCCTTGCATTGTCACGGTTGGACAAGTTGGCATGTGAAAAGAAAGCAGAATGCCCGGATAAACCCCATGCTCAAGAGGGAATAACACTCAAAACTCCACACAGATATATTCACTAATACGTGGCGCTGCTGTGATCTTCTGGCCACCTCTCAGCCCAGCGTTTGTCCAATTGCATTCCAAGTTCATGCAGGATTGTTGTGCATGTGGAAGGAGGCCGGAGTATACTCAGAGCAAACTCGAGCATCGGAAAGGATAACTCTGAAAGGTCCACACACAGATGGGGTCACAGTCCCCCTTGGTGTACTGCCATCTCCCGGCCACCACGTAGTCCGGCTGGCTTGAGAGTTTGATACAACTGCATGTGATCCACCCACCCTTGCATCAAAAGTGCTTAATCACAAGTGTGTGAAACTGCATAATAATAATAATAATCTCATGTAGCTGCAGAAAGGAGATCTAAGTGGTAGAGGAGAGAATGTTGGTCTGCAGTCACTTTTATCATCGCCAGCCATGATCCACTACTGGATGAAGGCCTCCCCAGGCAATCCCCATCCATAACGGGCCTGCTATGACACAATCCATCGAGCACATGCAAGGTGGATTACTCTCCTCCTTTGGCTGCTGCTCCATCGTTAGTCTCGACCACCGGACCATCGTCTGAGATGCCTCGAACTTGTTTGAAATGTGCAGTGGTAGAATGCTCGCAGCCACTCTACGCTGCGTTTATAATAAGTCTGGCGCAAATCCATGTTTGTGACTGTGATAATAAATAAATTAATAATTGTGCATATAAAAAAACTCGCCACGTAATGGAGGCGGCTCGGTTGTCCACGAGGCGTTTTTTTGTTGTTTTGTTTTTACGGCCGAGCGCTTGCGGACACAGCCTGAGCATTAGGCAGCTGCGGTTAATGTCTTTGAGGATTCAGCACGAACGCCTCGGGCTCTGGGAGCCAATCTAAGGCAGCGCAAATGCCACGGAGGAGCCCGACGAGCGGCACGCGCGAGGCGGCGAGCGAGCGTGGTTATTGATGGTCGAGCGGAAACTGGGTTTAGCCTCATTAGCCGGGCACCCGGGGAAGGTGGAGACAGGCGGAGAGAGCCGCGCTCACGTTGGCTGGCAACGCGGCCAAGATTTTGCGGAGACGTAAAGGGCTGCGCCGTGACGTGCGGAAGTCACAAGGCTTCACCGTGGAACGATCGGATGATGGAAAGTAGAGTGCACACAGCTATGTTCCCACCACAAGCATCGTGTGCAAGTTATGGAGCGCGTCATTTCCACAGCTGTGGGTCAACAAGGGCAAATTCAGGACCGGTTTGGGCATACGGTGTCTGATGTTTAGCAGCAAGAACCCTCGCTGCTAGATATAGGTGCTAGCTCGCTGCGAAACTACATAACAGACGAGTGATGATTCATTAATCAATTAAGATCGATTCAGACACTCACATAAGTGATGGATAAAACAAATGAGACGATGAAAATGAGAAATATACGAATTGTACCATAATAATCAAATCCCCAGGGCAGTGAATCATTGCTAGAGAGTGCCTATTTGGAAGTGATAAAAAGCAAAATAAAAGACTGCGGAGCAAACTACAAGTGGCAATTCTGGCTCTAGTAAACCACCAACGACCACCCAATTTTAAGCAGAGTCGATCTTGAAAAGGCTCAGGGCAGGCTTTCAGCATGACCTAAAATTTTACTTCGAGTTTCTGTGATCGTAGCGTATCACGTAAGCCGCTGCACCACTGCTCCCCGGCCCGGCAGTCATAGCACGCGTCACGCTCGCACAAACAATGACGCACTCTCCGGTGGTGCACCCACCGACTCCCGTGGCCCTCCACCCCCCATACAGGAGCACCGTACGGTCGACCAGGGATTAATTTATCACGGAATATTTCCGGGGTAGTCGGTAGGCTGGATTAGCTGGCGTGGGACTAGTAGCCACAGCCACAGAGAGAGGCAGGTATCTTGGACCTGCTTCTGAGATTCCCTCACACAACCACTTATCTACACTATAGGGCCATCACACTATTCCACATGCCCTGCTGTAAATATATTCGCTGCATGGCCATAAAACCATACAATGTAATTCTCAGAGCTGGAATTAAGCCAGATTTAGTGAACGACGTAATTTCACATGACAGGTGGTGTGTGTGTGTGTGTGGTCACTGGAGACCAGCCTGAAGCCATCCGCCCACCTTTAGCACATGTGGCCGAAACCCAGATCTGACCCCAGACTTCTGACCTCTGAGCCACCCGGCCAGCCTCCTATAGGAGAGACAGGATTTAATTTTGCTTTGTAAACCAGGAGCCGCTCCCTGGGTGGCCGAGGGTAAATTCTTCACTGCTCGCGTGCCAGCGTGCTAAGTGAACCTGGCGGCCGTCACCACGGAGCCGTGCCAATTTAATGTCCCGGAGAGTCAAATCGTTCGTGCTTTGTTTTCTTTATCAAACAGCCGCGTTTATCATGGGAACAAATACAAACTCGGCGGAAGAGGCTCGAAGTTCTTGACTCCTTTAATTAATTACTTTTCTTCGGGGGATCAAAGTCAATTTAAAAGTTCGTGGGTGCCTGTCGTGAGTGCCGAGAACTGCCCGGGGGTCCCCCTGAGGTCGACGGGCACCAGCTGCGGTCGGCACGTGGTGGGCCCCTCGCCCCCCGTCGCGCTAATCCGCCATTCGTCTCGCAATTAACTCCAGCATCCACCGCACCTGGTACAGGGGCTTTGGGAGCGGACGTTTCTCTCCACGAGCCGTGCAAATGCAGCGATGAATGCTCTTCTTTAATGCAAATCGCAGCGGCGCGGTTGCAGCAGCTGTCACGAGTGATTTTTTTTCATTGCGGAGAAATAAAGTAAGCTTTTCTCCATTGCGTTTCGCCGAGTGTTTTTCAGCACGATGCCCGACGTTTCGCTGCCAGCTTATTCAGGAATATAACTGAATTGAAGAAGCTCTAAGGACATACAGCGAAACGTCGGACGTCGTACCGAACGCCATGCGGTACAAATTGCAGATGCGTCGGAGAGCTACGCAGCACAACGGCGACAACCCACGCGGTGGCAGGAGTGGCTCTGCTGCATGACAGATAACTCA